ATCGATTGAGATGCAACAGGTAATTTAATCTATACATCTTATTACTATAATCCTTAACTCTGTTAAGGTGATTCAGTTGTGGACACAATGTGGATCAGCTAAAGGTATTACAATTATTTTGCTGTTTTCAGAAAGTTATGAGATTGATGACACAATGCAATGAGAAGAGCTTTGAGCTGGAGGTAAAATGTCTTTTTCTATAGCGAAAATGGAAGATCTGTCAAGTCAATATATATATTTAATTGTGTTCTACCTATGGATCAGATCATATCAGCAGATAATCGTATTCTCCAAGAACAACTACAGACAAAGGTCACTTCTAAATCACAGACTCCTTTTTTCTTTCTCATTCTTCATAAACAGCATTTTCTTTTGGCTATTATCTCAGTCATCCTTACTTCTATACACATGCTCTAACAACTACAGTGTACCGAGAACAATGAATTGCACGAAAAGTTGCATCTTCTAGAGGAACGATTATCGAATCAGAAGTCCACTCTATCTTGTTCTGATGCTGTGACTGAAGAGTATGTAGACGAGCTGAAAAAGAAAGTACAGTCTCAGGTAATTTATCAAATTCTCAACCCTTTTTGTCAAATTTGAGATCACGCATCTCACAAGTATGCCTGATATCACAAGTATGCCTGATAAATATCTGCACCGATAGGGAAGAGATTGGGAAAAAACACACAAAATATTGTATATGAATGCCGGATCTCTGATTATATATACATGAACGTTGTGTTTTTATTCTTCAGGAGATTGAGAACAATAAGTTGAAGCTAGAGCATGTGCAGAATGTGGAGGAGAAGAGTGGATTACGAGTGCAAAATCAGAAATTAGCTGAAGAAGCTTCATACGCAAAGGAATTGGCCTCGGCAGCTGCTATTGAGCTGAAGAATCTAGCTGATGAAGTTACAAAGCTCTCGCTTCAAAACGCAAAGCTAGAAAAAGAATTAGTAGCTGCAAGAGACTTGGCAGCGGCAGCTCAGAAGCGTAACAATAGCTCCATGAACAGCGTGGCGAACCGCAATGGAACAAGGCCAGGGAGAAAGGCAAGGATCTCAGACTCATGGAACCTCAACCAAGAAAATCTCACAATGGAATTGCAGGCAAGAAAACAGCGAGAAGCAGTACTCGAGGCTACATTAGCTGAGAAACAATACATAGAAGAAGAGTATAAGAAAAAAGTGGAAGAAGCAAAGAGAAGAGAAGAGGCACTTGAAAACGATTTAGCCAACATGTGGGTACTTGTTGCCAAGTTGAAGAAAGCCAATAGTGGCGCCTTGTCAATACAAAAGAGTGACGAAGCAGAGTCTGTAAAGGAAGATGAAGCGACAGAGTTAGATAATAAGAGTCAACAAAATGCATTCTTGAAAGAGAGGCAAATCGTGGATGGACATGAAGAAGTAATAGTTGCCAAGGCTCAAGAGACACTAAAGGAGGAACCCCTCGTTGCTCGTCTTAAGGTAAAACTTTTGCAAATCTGCGTTCTATATTTTCTTTCAGCATTCTTAGTTGTCTATAAACCTATTACATAGTCTAGCGGTAGGCAAATCTATTGTCCATTACCCGTTCGCTCCTTATCCTTTATGCCATGACCTTCAGATCGGGTAACAGATATTAAGACCTTCAAAACACCCAAAAATATATGGTTCAAAATATTTAAATAGCTTTAGCTGATCCAAGATATTCAAATAAGTATCATGTTCTAAATATCTATAATACAAGTGATCTTTACGGATAATTAAGTAAAGTTACTTGTGAGTATTGAATATTTCTCTGGATTTTTGGGGATATGGAACTTTTGTACACGTGTGGGATTTTCTGTACGGGTTATGAAAACAATGATTCATCTCACATTGTATTTTGTTCTGCATTTGATGCTTTATATACATAATAGGCAAGAATGCAAGAGATGAAGGAGAAAGAGATGAAATCGCAGGCGGCTGCAGCAGCCAATGCTGATGCAAACTCACATATATGTAAAGTCTGTTTTGAGTCGCCGACTGCCACAATTCTCCTCCCTTGCCGTCATTTCTGCCGTAAGTCTCACTGTCACTTTCCCTGAGGATCCTTCATTAAGTACCAAGTAAACTTAAAACGATGACAATATCTCTCTTTTATGCAGTTTGTAAATCTTGTTCACTTGCCTGCTCTGAGTGCCCAATCTGCCGAACCAAGATCTCGGATCGCCTGTTCGCCTTCCCGTCTTGACCCGCTACAAGTCTAGTCACTCTCCTGCACACAGTATAAGGTAATTCCAATAATTCCCACCATCACAAAATCTTTATAATTCAAAATGCTTTAGTTCAAATACATTAGGCAATCTATTATTGAAAGACGATTATATGTGATTTTGCAGGTATCAAGAACTATACGGAAGTCTGTTTGTTTGCTAATATTTTCCAGAACGGCAGGCTAGAATTATTTCATTACATTTTGGTTTTATTTTCTTGTATGTAATGTATTTGTTATATCTTCCTATTCAAAAATGTGGTAAAGAAAGAGGAAACATAACATGCTAACAGAAAAACAAAACAAAACAAAAAAAAAGTAGAAAAAAGAAACATATATCATATGCTATCTGCGTATAAAAAAAAAAAAATAAAAAAAAAAGAATGAGTTAATCTGTTCATATTGCTCCCTAATCAACAATTAAGCTTTTTTTTTTGCTTATGAAAATAGTTCCATAGTTCAAATATTACTTGTATCTGCATTGGCGAAAGCCGTTTCATAGTAAGTGCAAAGTTTAAAGTAATAGATTTTTTTTTGCTAATTCATGAAATTTCATCCCAAAATTCTCAAAAGAAGTACAAACATGGAACTCGTTTCTTTATCTATGCAAACGATTTATTAAACCGTATAATGAATTTAGAATTTATTGACCAAAGAAGAGAAAATATTATTGAAGAAAAAACTAGAGAAATCTAACTAATATGCCATTTACTGTTCAAAAACTTAGCAAAAATGCTACAAAATATAAATCTTTCCAAATGTGCCATAATGGTGGACGACAATTCTTGTCTACCCAAATTTTTGTATGTCGTTTCGAATTCTTGTCCACCAAAAGTCTGTTGTTTCAAAGGTGGACAAGATTTTTTGTCCACCAAATATCTTCTCAATCTGTTGTTTCAAAGGTGGACAACATTTCTTGTCTACCAAAAATTTTCGGTTCAAATTCTTGTCCACCATTATAGCACATTTGGAAAGACATATGTTTTGTGGTCATTTCTGTAAGCTTTGCTACAGATATGACACATTAGACCAAAATCCCAAAAAACTAACTCAAAAGTAGAGACAAAAAGAAGAAACAATTCTAGGGTTCACCCCTAAGAGTGAATCTCTTTCATTCACCCCCTCTTAATTAACCAATTAGAGTTTGCCATATTATCTAATTAAACAAATTAAAACAATTACTACAATCTAAATTAAATAAACAAATTCATTAAAACACCCTAATTTGAATTAATTGTAAAATTTAAACTATAACCATTCTTTTATAAATCCAAACGGACATATAATTTCATTTAATTATAAAATCTAAACCTTAACCACTCTTATATAAACCCAAACCGACATATAATTTTGCTTAATTGTAAAATCTAAACCATAAACCCTATTTATAAATCCAAATCGACGTATAGTTTTGTTTAATTGTAAAATCTAAATCCTAATCGCTCTTTTATAAATCCAAACCGACATATAATTTGGTTTAATTGTAAAAGCTAAACCTTAATCCACATTTGTAAACCCAAACCAACATATAATTTCGTTTAATTGTAAATTTAAACCCTAATCACTTTCTTTATAAATCCAAACCGACATATAATTTTGCTCAATTATTTATTGGGTTAAATCTAATATTAAGCCCTACTCTACATATATTGTTATACTAGATGTTAACCCGCGGTACACCGCGGGCCTAAATATTATTTGATTTTTTTTAATTATTAATTTTAATATATTATGTGATATATATGAAATTTTAATTAATTTAAATGTATGTATTGAAAGTTAGAGTTGTATATATATCTATAAATGGTAGAATTAGTCAATTTCAATTTCATTTTAGTAAATATAGATTTATAAAAATTTCCAATACATCACTAACTTGTACTCAAATTATGCCATTTCCAATTTTATAAAATTACACACATAAGATATTGTATTTGATTTCATTTGAATATATTGAGTTTTGTAAAAATAAAATTTATAGTATTTATGAACATATATTTAGTGAAAAGAAATATAAGTTTTAAATGTGTGTATATGATCGAAAAAAAAAACGGGAAGAAATGGGTACCGTTAACGGATTAAAGTGTGTCGGTGTCATAACGGAAAAAACAATTCCGACTATCAAAGAACTTCAATTCACCATCCTCTGCCATCTTGAAACTTTGAATAAATCTTGGCAGTATGGAAAGATGTCGATTAATGTTTTGACCCGCGGTAATATTACCTAGATTTTGACTCGCGGTACACCGCGGGTCGATTAATTTTATAAAAACCATAATTTTAAAATATTAGTTGAGTATATCAATTTAACCTGAGAAAACAATTAACCCATTTGAGAGAAAAAAAAATCTGTCAAAACCCCTTTCATCTTCTTTCCTCTTCTTCGATTTCTGACGATTCTCTTTCTCATTCTTCACATTTCTTTTCGATTAGAGCCCCGATTTTCCTTATTCAAGATAAACTATCCAAAACCGAAGATCCATTAAGTCCATAGGAGCCGACACCAACAAATTAGATCTGCTTGAATTTTTTGTCTAAATTGAAAGGTAAAAATATATATATTTGCTGTTACTGTAATAATCGATTTGATGCTTGATAACAAAATCTTAGCATTAAAAGTAATTAAAATTAATGAAAACAACAAACAATTGCTAAGATGCAGATCTTAATTAAGATGTTTTAGAGAAGCTAAGATGCGCTACGTGTCAATAGCTGAGTGGTTAAAAAAATGAGCAAAAGGAAAACAAAAAATGTCCCGTGTTTTTTTTCCTTCTCTTGTTGTCGTCTCTCTCTTTCTCGAGCTTTTCCCGACAAAAACCGAGTCATGCGAGATCACCATGATTCGAGTCGATCTGAACCATGCTCACTTCTCCAGGTTTTTCTTCTCCTCTTTGGTTGTAGAGTTGGTGATCGTAATCCCGATTCTAATCTTGTGATCTTACTTGAATTTGATGGATTCTGTGAAATTAATCTGATTTAGTTGTGAATTGACTTCAATTTTTAAAGAAATCTAGCGAGAGGTTATCCTCAATCGAAAATTCAGTTACTTAAGTTGAATCTCCCAATTTTAATGAGAAAGCTAGTCCAAAGTCATTAGATCATTCTCAATTTCACTTTGGTAATGGCAATTAGGGTTCATAGTTGTAGATGCTTAATTTATTGAGATTTGAGTTAGAAGTTCTGTTGTTTTTTTTGTATATGGTAGGTGGTTTCTCGGAATCGAAAGATGTCAAAGATCTGCCAGTACTTCTAATGGTCTCTTCAATACTTCACTATTGGTCTCTTCAATACTCCATGTTCCGTTATCTAACACGCTTTCACCTCTTGCTACAACAATTATTTTCATTGCATTATCTTCATCGGATTTTTCATCCAGAAGAAGCTGATTATTGTAACTTGTTCGGTGGAGCATCTGATACTCTTGAGTAAGAACCCGATTGTAACATGGTGATGGTACTAATCCACTCTTTCTGATAAATTATTTATGAGAAATTTCTATAGATTACGCATCATCTCGTTATGATAAATACTTAGGTTTTGTGTATCTTTTGTTAGGTGTTTGTGAAGTCCTCCAAGTCCAAATACCAAATTACCAATCATGATTGTGAGAAGAGCTATGAAGAACTCAACTGTTGTTCCTAGAGGTGGAGCTATAGATGTAAGTATCCTCCATTCATCGTGGTTCAGTATTTAAGTTTTGCACGTAGGGTTGAGCCATTCCTCCTGGTTGTAGATGGAGATAAGCAAGTACCTGAGGCAGCATTCAAGAACTATTGCTTGGAAGTCACAGCTTTTCATCAACTCTTATGCGAAGGCTCTGGAGGTACACTTCATGGTTGACTTGGATGTTTTAACTTTTGTGCCTCTTGATTTCACATATAAAAAAGAGAATATTACTTATTTCCATGTGGCCTGTTAGATCTAGGTCCTTTAACAATTTCTTTCACATCTTTCATGGTTGACTTGGATGACTTGGGATGGGCAAACAGGTCCATGGCTAATATCAATATCAAAACAAATGGTTGTTTGTCTGATACACATGGTTTAGCAAACAGGTCCATGACTAATATCAAAAGGCAAGAGTCATATATATACTCATACGTTGCCACTTCTCCTTGAAACAGGTCAGTATTACTTATTTCTTTAATAATCATATACTCATGAATATAGCTAATATATAGAGTTGGTTGATTCATTGAGTAGAAGTAAGAAATTACTTGAACCCTTTTAGTAAGTGATATGATTAGTAAAACATTATACTGCATATCCTGGCATTCAAATTAAAAATTTATCAGATGAATAGTCATTAATACTATACCAAATCTGAGTACACATATGAAGAAATATATCGTCTTTCTTTCCGCCTAAAAATGGTCCTTCTAATCGGCTCTAATTTCTTCATCTTTCTATTGGGTTAGTGTATACTTGTAGGCTAGGGGAGGATACTTTCTTATCATCTTAATTCTTCATTGCCTACACACAATAAACTTCTTGCTCAAAACAATTTATAAACATATATTAGATCAATTCCAAATCCAACTAACACTGAAACAAAGCTTTCCTGAATGTATACAATAAGTCAATAATGTAATGCGAAGCACAAACCCTTTCTTGTCATCCACAAATCTGCAAAAAAAAAAAAAATGAATTTAGAAACTGATTGGGATGTTTGATTTTGAGATTCTCACCAGTTTTGGCTATGTATTGCCATCATGATGCAGATCTTAACTTGGATTCGTCAAGCGAATTTGTTAAGCCGCAGGTCTCTGAAAAACTTTCTTTCTGGATGTAAAAGGTAAAATGATTCTTAATGAGCTGATATTTTTTATTTTTGCATATGTTGACTGGTTATATATAGAGGTTGTAGATGTTTAGGGTTAGCTTTGATTGTAAAGCGAGAAAATCTTGGTGATTAAGTTCAAAATCTTGAAAATCTCGCTATTTAAAATTTATGGTAACTATATAAAGCATATTCTTTAAATCCGATTGTTAAGGTAAATACTCTTTAAAAAATCGTTGATATGCATATTTTGGTAGAGAAGAAATAAGTATTATGTAGATTATTAGAAAGATTGTGTCGAGATTTTTGGAGAAAACTATTTAAATTGATGCTTATAATCGAGTTGTTAGAGATATGTAGAATAGGAAAATCGAAAATGATAATTTGGTAGTAATTAAATGCTATCAAATATCTGGGAGATTTTATTTTGGAAACTAATCGTGGACTAAGCAGAGATTTTTGCATGATTCGTAACGGAAAATCTTTAATGCTACTATTGATAAAAAGGAATAGAGCCGATTAATGTGGAAAGTAGTTAAGGAAATAAGATTAAAACGAATTGTATGTTTAATTTAGTCTTAAATGTCAGTTTTTAAGACAACATTCTTAAAAATCCTTATCCAAGATCCGAATATAGTTAATCCCGGATAAAACCCGGATACAAAAGACTTTTTGCAAAAATCCCCTGTAAAAATGTATATGTAGATTTACCATATCGTACGGCCCAAATCAAACATTAAGCCCAATCTCCATCATCCCAACTTAGTATTGGTATGTTTAATATCAGTATGGACCGAAGAATAATGGTTACGGCCCAATAATGGATCTAGTGAGCCCAAATGATACAACCATAGATTTTTTTTGTTTCGGCCAACGAGGATGATGGATTTGGTTACCGAGAGTTTTGAACGGTCGTCAGAAATTCGGAGCTTGTAGCTTCTCTGTGCGGTGCCTTCACTATAATGGCGGCAATATCCTCTGTTCAATGCTTATTCTCTTGCAATTCTCATCATCATCATCAACGCAAGCTGGTGAATCTCTCTGTCCTTATTTCTTCATGATTAGCGAAAACTATCTTTCTTCTTGTTATGACTTTATTCCTCCGTTTTTTTTTCAAGTAGAGTGGGTCGCTTTGGAGATTGGGTTCTAAGGTTTTAGTATCTTCGAGTCTATGGAAGCTTTCTCTGTACTCTGGATTCGATTTGAACCGAAGGTGATTATCTTTCTAGTTAACGATTTCAGTAAAGATTTGGCCCTTGAAGCTATGATTCTGTGTAATGCAGTTAGATATGAGATAATGATTGCAATCTTCTGGGTCTAATAAAACAGGAGAACTTTGATCTGTGCAGTCAAGGGAGATCCAGAAGATGCGTTTAAGAAGACTGTCGAAATCGATAGGATGATTGATGCTCTTAGAGATGCCAACCCTAGACAAGTAAGGAAACATATCATATGCATCGCAAAATGTTGTGTGTTTGTTATCATTTCTTGAGTAATTGAGTTTTGGTTTGCTGTTGTTGTTGCTGTTTCCATTGAACAGGTTGAGAAGATTGTTGTTGAAAATATCCTTGCTTTTGATGAGGTTTTTTGGATAAGACTCGCAGCTAGGTCAGATACTTGCAAATCAGAAGATGACAAGGCATGAGTTTCTATTGTTTATGTCAATGATAAAGCAGACTCTCGAGCTCTTTTGTTTCCACTAATAATGCTTTGTGGACGGTTTGTTTCTTGCAGAAGGACTATGAGGAGTTAGCTACAACTGTAATGACTATAGTTGACTGCGTTGTGAATAAGACTCGGGTTTATATTTCTTCTCTTCTTCTTGGTTTCATTGTCTCTTCTTCTTTTTCAGTGTTTCCTTTAATTCATTGTATCCCTGTAGGAAAAAATAGAAACCTCTACTGATATTCTGAAAGGGATTTTAAGACCGGCTATAGATGGAGTGGAAGAGATTTCATGGCCTCCAAGAGATCCTGAAGCCATCAATCTAATGGAAAAGGTTTATACTAGTTGTTGTTCTTCACTTTCCTTTAAGCAAGACATCATCACTTTTGTTTTGTATACAACCTTCTGCCTCAGATATCCACAAGGGCTATCTAGTTTTGGATGTCTTTATGTGATATAGTCATGGTTACTGATATCAGTATATTAACAGGAAATAATACAACGGGAAAAAGAAGGGCAATTAGATGAAGGATTTCTTTCAGAAGTTAGTGCTCAGCTCCGGCAGGTAAGTGCAATAATTTGCTTTGTTTCACTTACAAGTTCGTTGCAAATATCGGTCATAGACAATTGACTTCTATGTAACACAGAATTCTGGGTTCAAAACCGGTGGATTTTCTGAAGGAACAAAAAATGGTCTTTCCTTTACAGTGATTAGATGTATTCTTTTGAATGTTTGAGGCTGAAGTTTGTTTTCAGGCAAAAGAAGATAAAGACAAACCAGGGTTATTGGCTATGCTGCAAAAAGTTCTTCAACTCTATTCTGCTACTATCCTCTCCAAGCGTAGCTACGCAAAGAAAGGTCAATTATGAAAACTTTGCCAAGTCTCTCTAGACCATTTTCTACAAAACACATTCTCATCGTGTTTGCATCTCTAAACTCAGAAAAACTTATCAATTAGAGCTTCTGGTTGTTGTCACAGGGAACGAAATTGTTAAAGCCGAGCATTTTCTCGAAACTTTGATTAAAGGTCTCTTCTGCAACCTCTTTTCCATGTACTATAGACCCCAGACTTCTTCACATTGGTTCATTATGTGTGTTTTTCAGCTCCTGAGGAACAATGGAACAAGCTATTCGTAGACGGGTTAACAATCGGGAAAGGAGATATCACACCTGATGAGCTATCTGCTGTTATCAAGAAACGAATCGAGCGCACACTGATTCGAACTGTAAGTAACATAACATAAACTCTCTCTAAACAAAGCCACATAAAAAAGAAACACCTTGAAACATTATTTTCTTCCCCTCCTCTTGTCTGCATTGTCTTTTATAAGTGGATGGGAGGCTAACCGGGTTTGATTTGGGTTTAAACCAGATGGTTACCATATCGGTTTAGAAAGAGTCAGATTCATTTCAAAAGAATTCTTCATTTTAAGTACCCATTTATAGGATACAGAGAAACCACCATGAAACATTTGCTTGCATTATTTTTGTCTCCTCAAAGTAAGTGTGAGGCTAACCGGGTTTTGATTTGGGTTTAAACCAGACGGTTACCAATACGGTCTTCCAAAATTCATCAGTCTGACCACATTTATTTTGATCATACCAGGAAGGTGGTTCATACCAGCAGCGAATCTTGACCGAGTATCTCAAAGGAATCGAGTCCAGGGCTAATGAAATTATGAAATTACTTCAGGGTTAATTCTGTAAATCATGGATTTATATGTATATTTCCAATTTTATGTAATATAACGCCAATTAAAATTTGTTACTATAGTTTTTCTCTCATAAATTAATTTTTATTGTGCATTGAAGTGTTAACTGATTAAAAAAAAAAAAAGCTCTAGTCAAATTTTACAGATTTTAATTATCTTGGAATCAAAAAAAAAAAAAAGTAAAGTTAATGGTTCCATATAAAATAAAAAAAAAATAAAAAAAAAAGAGTAATTCATGCCAATTAAATTAGCGAGACGCAAATTGGAGACAGAGATAACTCTGAGCGGAGGGATTCAGATCTATACGACGAAACTGAATCTCACCGTCTTCTTCTTCTTCTTCTTCTTCTTCATCTCAACGATCGGTTTCTCAATCTTGTAGCCTTCTTTGCTCTCGCATCCACGCTTCTCTGGTAATGCTACGGATCGTCACCGTGAAGCTGAGCTTGATCGCTTCCCCTTGTGAACTGATCTGATCTGAGGTGAATCTCTATTTCTTCTCCTTCTTCATTGTTCGTATCTCGATTTCTCGGATCTTACTCCTTCCTATCGTTAGATCTGTTTTCAATTTCACGTTGATTACGTTTTTTTCGGTTTCTATGAACTGATCTTTCTCCATGATTTCATTCTCTGTGATCTGGTTTTTGTAGAGTTGTTTCTGTTTCGTAATCTGTGAATATGCTGACCAAGTTCGAGACCAAGAGTAACCGAGTTAAGGGTCTGAGTTTCCACCCTAAACGACCATGGATTCTCGCCAGTTTGCACAGTGGTGTGATCCAGCTCTGGGATTATCGTATGGGTAC